TTGTTAAAATTAGTTTAATTGACAATATCCTTTCATCTCTAATGGAATTGCCTCTGAATTATCGGCGACTTTTGGCTGTGCAACGTGAGGCACCTGCGAGAATTAATATGGGAGAGAACAGCCCGTTAATGTGTAAATTAATGAGCGAGGGTACTTTACTTCTATATTTATTCTATTCTTCAATTTAATTAGCTGCAGGACCATTTAAAAAGTACCAAAGTACCTTCCTCATCCATTTGGATGTCAACCTGAGAGGAGGAGATCAGTAATTCTTCTGCAAATTACACCATGGCCTTCACCAGAAAAGATGTGCTCAAATTTGATGAGTTTCTTTCAATGAAACCATATTTTACAGCCTAATGAAAATCAAAACCCTCACCGTGACCTTGAAGTGGCTAAACATAACATTCTAATGCAAGAAAGATTTGGGTGATTTAAGATTATTAACTCGCATTATTTATTTCCTCCCGCATCTGTTTTTTGGCTAACAGGCTTTTAATCCGGTGATAAATGGGGAATTCTTACCTGACTAACAGAAAGGTCACTAAGTAGTGGACAATTTATATTGTTTATAATTCAGTGGTTTTGGGATCCCAGTGCAGTAATCAATTCTCCAAGTGGGAAGACAATGGGGGATGAAGGATATTCGTTAGTGATCTGATTTTATCTGAAGAGCAAACCACACAATTGCGTTCATTTAAAGTAAATACAGCTCCCGTCAATGTAACCTCACCCCAGGCTCTAGTCGTATCAACCTCCTCAGTTACTCGAGCAACCCATGGAGCCTGTGCAGAACCTCCACCTTTTGTTCGACCCTCAACTCTCCTCCGGGTAATTCAATTGACCAAATCCGCTTTCCTCCATAACCCACCTCCCCCCAGTGCTTTACCATGCAATTGGCCAAACGCTCATCCGTACAGTTGTCATCACTGCTCACCAGCCTCCCCAGCTCTGCCATCCACAAACACCAGACAGTCCACGTCCTTTCCCACACTCGGCTCCTCAAGTGCATCACCTCATTCCAATGTTTTTCCTGTTGTCCTGCAGATCAACTTTAAGACCCTAGTCCTCACTTCCTTGACCTTGCTTTATTCTACCTTGATGATCACTTGCAACCCCACTCTTCCCCCTCCACCCCCGTCAGTCACTCTGTTTGCCCCGCCAACTGTGGCTTGCCTCATGTTCCTTGCCCTCTGTCCCACCATTGGCGGGTGAGCTTTCAACCAATTTTTCCACCCTCTCTGGAACTCTCTTGCTTCCATTTTCCCTCCCTGTATATCAAAAGCTGTCTCAAGATCGTCTCTATGACTGCGTCTTTAGCTATCGCCTCTCTCTCTCTCTCTCTCTCTCTCTCTCTCTCTTTCTCTCTCTCAGCTCAGGCTCCCACTCAGGCTTTGTGAAGTGTTTTCTGCCGTTCTCCTTGCATGAAAAGCGTTATATAAATGCAAATTGGTGTTGCCAAAGATATTTATTTTTTTGATATACTAGTAAGTGGGTTTGAGCATTTGAAAAGCCATCTACATCATGTTTCAAGCTTTGCATTCAGCCCTGAAAAAAAATCAATGATATTTTTTGAGGAAATAGGTTTAGCTTTACAAAGAGCTGTGATTTCACAAGTGCGTCTGCACCGTGTATTTGTAAGTGCTTCTTGCTGTGGGCATTACAATGTACTTAAAGTTAGCTGAAATGTGTGTAAGAAGTGTTGAATAGGTGAACACAAAGATGAACGATACAGCGGTAATAAAGATTGCCACTCCAGTACAATTCACATTATTTCTTGCTTTTATACAGTAATAAATAATCAGGAGATGGGATTGGGATGTGGAGGAGAAAGGGCCTGGAGGCTGTATAATAATAATAATCCTTCCTTTTGATATAGCGCCTTATCATGGTCTTTGAGACGTCTCAAAGCGCTTCACAGAATCTACTGTAAAGTGTAGTGACTGCATTTTGTGGGCGAAACCCGGCAGCCAACTCGCACACAGCAGTGTCCCACAAACGGTGATGGATTGAGTGATATGAAATCCGGGGAGAATAAAGATTAGGGATGTGGGGAAAAAAGCTGGGATAATGGATGAGGGATAGGACCTAGGATAGGCACTTGTGTAGAGTGTAAAGTAATAGGCACTTGTGTCGAGTGTGAAGTTACACTGGATGGGTCAAATGGTCTGTTTCTGTTTACATTGCTCAAAAAGCCACAGAATCGGGGACCTCACTTTACCCTTTAAGCTCCTGGGAATATCCTGCAATGGGGATCTCCCTGACAATGAATAGGAAATCAAACAACATCTCCAGAATATTCATCCTCCTCTCCGGCTCTAATATTCAGCTTTGGTTGCTACCCCACACAGACAACATCCCCTGAGCCCTGAACCTCAGCAGCTCATTGGGTTCATTCAGATCTGCACCAATACTAATGTAATGCTCTGCTGCTATAAAGCATATACCTATCCAGTCATTTGGTTTGCCCAGAGTTGACTGCTTTTGCCGTGAGCCTGTTCCACATATTCACAGAGTCAGCAACCACACAGCTTTCGCAGTAAATCTGTCCAAAGTGCCTTAAAGCCTCAGTCTGAAATAGGCCCCATTACTTTGAACTTAGTGTGGAAATTGATACACAATTAGGGAGCTAAGTAATAAAGTGGTGCAGGACTGTCCTCAAAGCATGCCTAACAGAGTATCTGGAGACGCCAGATGAATGGATTGATCCTGAGAAATCTACTGTATTAAATTAGCTGTCACACAAAGGCTGAGCTCCCAGTGAGTCCACCAGTGTCTCGCAGCATTTGTGTTACAATTTGTTCAGCAGTGTTTGGGGAACAATCTTCTGCAGCCCAGGGGTAGCTTACTCGAAGCAAATCACTTCAGCCTAACGGCTGTGAAAGCATAAACTGAAATGAGTTCCACTGGGTCATAGCCAATTGCCCCTGTGGCCGTTGGTCTACATCAGGAGACGTTTTCTAATTCGGCAACTCAGGCTGAAGGGCCAGTTAAGTGTGCCGGGCGCGGGTAATGTCTGCCGCAGTTGCCAGTGATTTGTAGCCGTGCTCGACTGTGCATTACGGCAAGGGCTCCGAGACTTCCACCAGGTTTCCGCCACACCGCGGTCATTGCCATGAGCCCTTCATCACGATGAGTATGTTCTATCTTTCTGGGAATCTTTTTATTTCCTAATTCGGTGGCCCTTTTTTCCCCCATCGGGTTACGCTTGCGTGGCAATAAGAATGACCCTTGCATTGTGACATGGCGCCTTTCCTTTCGGGAGGATGCCTCGAAGCAACTTTGCAGGACTTTACTGTAAAGTGTCGTCACCGTATGCTTTACAGGCGCGTGGGGGAGGGAGGCCCCCCTTTGTTTTGTGATGAAAACATCTCAAACCTGCCCGCACAGCCCATCGATGTACTATGCTGATCCGTACAGACTTCCCCTGTTTAAACAGTGGGACAAGGCCCTCAGAAACACGGAGGGCGAGGACTCTTCCCGCTCAGCTTCTGTTAACCCTCAAGTCAAAGCCCTAGCGGGTCGGGCGATCCTACCTGGACAAGCAGACGGATAGGTCGCAGGTCAATGCGCATGGGGTGTTTTATTGAACGCTAAAACGTTGGTGTCGTGTCAGAGATGTTTAACTTCACGTGATACCCACATGAACAAAATAGCACTGACCCTGCAAAAAAAAAATATCTCCGTTAGATTTTCTAGCCGTCAATGATCGAGGAATCCCGGCTGATTTCCGTCCATTCCCTCTTGAGATTTCAGCGACGGCTTTTCAATATTGTATTATAATGAGTTCCCCTCAGGCCCATTGGTCTGGAGGAAGAATTGGCCTTGGAGTTCCCAGAGGTTTCGGTGCTTGTCCCAGGGATAATTGGTGTCACGTGTACATTAGCTGTCTTCTCGGGGCTGCCGCCTGGCTGTTTGTTAACTGGCTCTGGCTGGGTTTTGTACAGCCTTGAAAACAATTTATGTGCTGTATTTTTTTTTCAAGCTGGAGCAAATCACCAGTTAATCACCAGTGATCATGTTTTTAATTCAAATGAGCGGATTTGAATAACAATAATAATCCTTTCATTTGATACAGCGCCTTATCGCGTCGTTGAGACCTCTCAAAGCGCTGACTGTATATTTTGAATATACATATACACACGTACATATATAGTATATGTATAATATGTAAAATGTGTGTACCTATATATATATATAGTTGAATGCAATCAGGAATTACGGTACCGGCAGCTAACATTGTTTCTATTCAAGCTGCACCTTAAAAGTCCCTTGGTTTAATGTACCTTGTACGTAGTGCACTATAAGATAAGTTGGAAAGTCCTGAGAGGTGAGGCGTTACATCAAATGCAAGGATTATTGTCATTATTGCGTGGTGTCCGAAGGCCGCAGTGGGTTTAGTGAGGAGGCTCCTTTCGAGTCGGTGGCTGTTTTTTTTTTCACGTCTCGGACAGTTCTTGTTTTTGCACCTTGGAACTGACAGCAACCGTTTTGTTTTACCTCTCTGGGACGGCAACCCTACAGTCCTCTGAGACAACCAATACACGACCCGAGGGCTGCCTTACCAATTCAGATCAGTAAACTAGCACAAACCTGGGACCACGCAACAGCACCTTGTGATTTATATGGGTCTAAACTGCATTAATATCTCATGTAACATACTGAGACATTACCCCATGTGAAGGACCCTATATAAATGCAAGTTGTTGTTGTTATATACCTGGGACTAAACTAAACATATGGGACCCTTTGTTCCCTGCGTGAATCCACGTTATACTTATATCTCGTGTATCCACTCGACAGAAGGCGTCATTTCTCTTCTGCCCCCGCCTGAAAGTAACGGGCAATCGTCCCACAAACTGACCACCGCCAGTCATAACACAATCATCCTCGCATTTGTCATAGTCAAAGCGATGCAACTTAGAAATACTGTTGGAAGATTGTATTTGGGTTACGACAGAGAAAGCCTGACTGCGGATTTTCTTTTGGGTGTTTTTCAGCTTGAGGCGCAGAGCACGAGGAAGTACAAGGGCGTGCAATTCGGCAAATCAACATCGAAACGTGAGGGCTTCAAAATCAGGCCAGGCCCTGGTCCCGGAGCGTATGATATAGATGGGTCAGTAGAATGAGTTATTTCCGCACTTGTCAGTTGTTTTTTTGTTTTGCTTTATAATTGGAGGACATTTATTAGATGTCCTAGACGTACTCTGAAATGCCTCTTTGGCAGCATTCGAGGAGTACATCAGTGTTAAACCTACCGTTTCGTTTTACCTTACCTGGAATTCATTTTTAAAATCCTCGTAGGGCAAATTGTACCTTTAACCTCACTGCAGTCTCAAAGGGTTCCCGTGCCTCCTGCTGAATTGGAGGAATAGTTTCATAAGTTAACAGTGATCTGTTGACCTGTGTTGATCTGAAGGCCAATCAATCACGCGGCGTTTATTTAGTACAGAAGGCCACCTCAGTGCATCTCAGGTAGCTGTCTGAAGCACAGCTTAAAGTCCTTGATGTCTCAAATAAAATGCAGCCTCCTTTTAATGGGGAGTTCCTGTGCGGTGATTTGATGTCTGCGATATTAGCTCCCGTTAGCTGCTCCTCTCTGGATTCACTATTCCCACACGGAGGAACGGCCTTTGCATCTCTCTCGGCCCCTCTGTGAGACTATTTGTAGGCTTCCCCTCGATTTATCCCACTGTGTGAGGGCACTCCTCCAGACGAGTGTGGCCAGTGCCGCTGGAGGCAACCACTTCTCCACAATTCCCAGGTTATCTCTTTTCCCGTTCCTCTCGAACCGCACTCGCTTCCCCCGTGGTGTCCGTACCCCGGGCACGTTGCAGTATTATATTGTTTCCATCACACAAGTTTTGTTCCATGTGTTTAACCGCTCAATATGCTGCAAGAACGTGCGCCCTGGGGAGTTCTCCGAAACTGTCATATTAGTCACTTTTGATATTTAATGTAAATAAATTACTTGGTGGATAGTCCCTCAAAGATTGTTTCTCCCTGGTGGATAAACAGCTGTCGTGTTGTACTTTCAGCGAGAAGCAATTTCAGTGCGAGAATCTGAACTTGAAAAACGAGGAGCCCCCGAGATGCGAGGTTTTTATTCCGCGATATCTTGAGTCGGTGATGGAGGAGGAAATAAAGAAGGTAAACGCAACTTCAGTGATCAAACCGTTAGAATATTAAAAAAAATATCTACAGGGAAGCACGGTGGCAAAATGGTGACCGTGCCCAGTGTCGCATCGCAAGGCAAGGATGTTTTGCATAGCGGCTGGGAAACATCTGGGAGAACTGGTGGTGGGATGGGGGGAGAAAGAGCGGCCAAAGAGAGGTTAGCTTTTCAAGTGGGTTGGTTAGGGCGGTGTGGGGTGGTGAGGCAGATGTTGTAATGGGGTAGAATGAGCTGCTGCGTGATATCCTAACGAGTACAGATAAGAAAAGGAGACGCTTGTGATTTCGGTATTATACACGAGCACTGAAATGGTTCAATCTGGTGGGTGGGGGGTGGGGGGGTGGGGGTGTAGCGGGGGTTGGGCGGGGGAGTCAATGTTGTACACTCACACAGTGTACAATATCTGTGTTTCTCTTTGGCAATCTTAGGCAAACTGCTCTTGTCTGTGAGTCAGAGGTTGTAGGTGCAGCAAGCTCCGCATTTGGGGACTTTGAACCGACATAGTCGGGGCTGACGCTCCGATGCAGTGCTTCATTGCCAGAGGTGCCGTCCTTCAGATGAGACGTTAAACCAAAGTCCGGTCCTGTCCTGCCTTTCCCGGGTGGGATGTTGAAGATCCCGTGGCATTATTCAAACAGAGAAGGGAGTTTCTCCCAGTGTCCCGGACAACGAGCTCCCAAATAAAATTGGTCATTCACTTCATGGCTGCGTGTGGAACATGATGGGACATTGCTAGCCACAAATTTGCTGCCAAAGCACAGTCACTGCACTTCATTGTAAAATGTGGTGAGGCCCTTCGAGATGTCTCGGCAATGTGACAAGGGGCTCCATCAAATGTAAGGATTACTGTTAGAATTGAGAAAGCAGTTATTTTACAAATCGTTTTAAGTTAACGGCCGGAAAGTTAACAGGGTTCCGAGGAGAGAAGAGAGAGAGAGTTTGAGACTTTCTTCGTTGGAACTTCTCTTTCGATAGTCAGCCGACTGCAGTATGGTAAGGTTTCAAGAGGTGGCACTCTTTGCTTAAGATCTCCGCATTACCCTCTGCAACCGAAGCAAATAAGTCAAAATAATCAGATATTTGCAAACAAGGCAAGCAGTCGTTTTATAATTGTGTTTTCCCCATTTGAACAGGAAGGAGATGGGGCCCAACTTATAAGCCAAGTTGAGTAAAAAGTCTACAGCGTTAAAGTCGATGACGGTCTTGCGCCCGACATATAAAATGCCTTGCTGTGTTTTTGTGCACCACCCGGCTTCGCTTTGCTTTACCTGTGGTGAACTTTTGGGTTATTACTGGGAAGAATTCAAAGAAATTAGTCGGACACAATATGCCTTTGCAAAACCCATGTTGAGTGTCCCTTCTCAGTCGCATTTTTTTAAAAGAACGTTCTACAATGACGACTCTTATTATGACCTCAAGTTGACGTGGGACTTGTCGGCCTGGAGTTCCCTGGCTTGGCCCTTCTCCCTTTCTTAGGCATCAGGGTGGCATTTGCCACTCTCTTGGCCTCTTAGACAATCCCCATATCTACAGAGCTTTGGAAAATGGAGTCTGTGTTGTTTCACCACAGGGTGCGATCCATCAGGACCCAGAGTTTTATCCGCTTAAACCCTTTTATTATTATTTCCTTTTTAACTTCTACATGTGCTATCCGCTTCTCTATATTCCTTTCTAATATTCCTGCATTGCTGACGTAGCCATCCTCTGTAAACCTTACGTTGATGTTTATTAGTATACCTCTTTGTTTCATTGCAGACTAACGAACAATAGCAGGAACTATCCTCTCCAAGAGTTTCACATGCTGAGTTATGCATGAGTGACACAATATTATCCTAAATTAAAAAAAAGTCCTGCTATTACCAATTCCTTTCCTCTTGCTGATGATCATCTGGTGCTTATCGGCTTTGCATTGAGTTAATTCCAATTTTTATATTCCTGAGGAGCAATTTTTTTTTTTGTTCGTATGAAATCTAAATGCAGACTTCAAATTTTGCATAGAGTCCTAAGAAGGTATTTTTTCCTGGAGTCTGAGATTGTTTGGTTCGGGTACTTAATATTTGGAATAGGGTCTGTACTGCAATGCAATGCTAACTTACGTTTGTAAAGCGCCTTTCACGTCGGGAGGTTTCTGAACGGTCAGGGATCAGGACCTGGGGTGGAGGGTAGAGAAGGTAGGAGCGTAGCCAAAGGCACGGTCCAAGAGAAGGGTCTTGAGATGTGCCTTGGAGGAGGCAAGTGAGGAAGCGAGGCGAAGGTAATGTGGGATGGAGTTCCAGAGGGTAGGGGCAAAGAAAGCCCGACCGCCGATTGTGGGACGGGCCGGGGCGGCGGACGTGGAGCAGGCCGGAGCCTGCTGAGCGGAAGGAGCAGTCAGGTTGATAAAGGGTTAGCAGGTCAGAGAGGTAGGAGGGGGCAAGGCCATGGAGGGACTTGAAGGTAAGGACGAGAATTTTGAACTCGATCCTCTGAGGAATGGGGAGCCAGTGGAGCCGGGCGAGGGTGGGGGTGATGGGGGCACGGAGACTGGTGCGGGAGAGGACACGAGCTGCAGAGTTCTGGATGTACTACACATCTAGAAAGAACAAATTCCAGGTCCGAACCAATTATTGTTGACCTCAGGACCAATCTATTTCACTAATTATTGCACAGATAGGAACAGTTTTACATTAGGCAAACAGAGTAACCATCTGCACACTGCAAAGACATACAAACAACCGTGAGGTGATTGACCATTTAATCAGGAGGATTGTGTGCCATGGTACAGGGAGTACCTGCCTTCTCTTTTTGAATAGTCATATGAGATCCTTAACACCAACCGACACTCAGTTTCCTGTCTCATCAGAAGGTTGACATCTCTGTCAACGTGGACTGCTCCAGGACTGCCTAGATAATGACTTCAAGCCTTTGAATTGGATCTTGGCCCCAGAGTCTTGGGCGAGTCTTGACCAACTGAGCCAAACACCTTTGGTCTGTAACACTGTGTGTGGTCGGCCACGTATTTTGGAAGTCCTCAGAAACAAGATTGCAAACCTCATAACGGACTCTCAATTTGGCCTCAGCGCCTCTCGCTTGAGGAGAGGAAATCAACCTATCCATTATAGTGATCAGAAGTATTAATATTAATATACAATTGGGTCACTCAATCCACGACTGTTTGTGATGACGCTGCTGTGCACGATTGGCTGCCGCGTTTGACCCACAAAAAATATACAGTCAATTCACTTTACAGTATAGTCTGTGAAGCGCTTTGAGACGTCTCAAAGACACGATGAGGCGATATATCAATTGCAAGGATTATTATTATAATTTTTTATTGTCAGGTACAGGAGCCTCTGACCTCCATCTTGCCTTTCAGGAAGGACTTGCATTGATGTGGCCTGAATTATTATTAGGAGTTGTCGGCATAGTGTGTTGAGAGGATAGTTCAACTCCATATGAGGAATAATGCATTTCCACTGGCGAACGATATTATATAGACTGCTTCGAAGATCACAGATACTGTTCTTGCTAAAAGGAGACACTCGGTTACTCAAGACAATATTGTTACCTACCTGACTCTGAGTCTCAAAGGACATTAGTATTTCAACCGGAAGTACAGACTTGTGATCTAGGCTGACACTCCAGTGCGGAGTTGTCGGGGGGAGTGCCATCTTTCACATCAGATTTTATTCCTTCAGATAAGATTGGTCATTACACTTCATTGGTTGTGGGAGATTCGAGGTGCAGGTCAAGCTGCTACGTTCGCCCTCAAACGTACAGTCGCTACACTCTCACAGTAAATCCCGTCGAGCTTTGTGACATGTTAACAACCTAATGAGGAAACCTAGTCGAATGCGAGGGTGATTATTTTAATATTAATTGCATCTGAGCAAGGCATTCCGTCGAAGGATAACCTAGCCTTAACCAAATACACGAGAGGAGGAGAACAAAACTGAATTAATTCTGAGATTAAACAATTCCCTATGGAATTTGGATCAAAGGAATTTTTGGACTCTGAGAGGAGCAAATGCACAGCACTCCAAAAAAAAAGCTTAGCTCCTGGGCTGATTGATATTTGGTTGAATCGCTCTGTGGACTTTCAGGAAATATTCCATTCTCAAAGTGATTTGTGCCACATGGAAGGGATTTGTTTTATGGTCCAGCACAGTCTGGCGATATTATTTGGGACTTTTTATTGATTCCCGTCTAACCTCATCTTAATGGAATTTAATTCACAGGCATGGTTATCAGAGAACATTTTTTAATCATGGAAAGGGCTGGGAAGCTTAGCCACGTTATGCAAGCATCAAAGCTCCTTTGGGACCTTTGCCTTGTTCCCATCAACGGTGAATATGGGTTAGCCCAACTCTCAATTTTGGCAGCGCATAATTTCCCCTTCCTCCACGTGAAAGAGGAGACACTAGTACCAGAATCGTGCCTTATGAGACACATCATGATCAGAACAAGTGACGTTTGGACTGACTAGAAATACCAGGCCCTCTTGTGCTTCTGACTTGATGTAACACGGCACACTAGATAGGAAAAAAATAAAGGACAGTGACCTGACTGAGGCAAAAATAGCAACCGTCCTCTTTTCCCTTCATCCCAGAATCAATTGCCTCAGCGTTTAAATAAGCACTGCTCCCAGCCTGCACTTACCCATGCGAACAAATCTAATGGACCAATGTATTTTTCCACAAGTACCGTGCAATCAAGATGTGGACAGCGAAGGTAAAATGTTCCATTTGGACTTTACTTCTCGTACAATAATACGTTGACCTACAAATCGAATGTGAATGAACGTGGCAGTACAAGACAAACATGTAATCACCGATCTAACTGCAACTTAATAAGACAATTCAGAAACGGCTTGACACCATACTGAGAAACACTCAGAAACTGTCTCTACTCCCTCTCGATCTTAACTGCGATAGCATAGCAGGATTATGCATTGTAAAGCGGAGTGACTGTGTTTTCGTGGGCTGGTGCGGGAGTC